TCCTCTCTGGTATGGATTACTGCCGTGGCCTCCTCACTGACGCTCCTGCATCTGCCTGTTCTGAACAGGCCAGGATTCTATCAAAATAAAACTTGTGCAATTTATCTGAAAATAGGCAAAATGAAGTGGTTGAGGCTTGAAAGCAGATGGCTTTCTCCTTCAGGAGTGACAGTGACAAGGCCCCTTGTGATCAGCACTTCCATTCCCTGTACTGACTCCCCAACCCACCTACGTTCTCCACACCTCCACCCCACCCCCCATGCCAGGTATACTCCCGCTCAGCCTTGCTGCCTTGTGGCATCTAACATGCAGGTGCCTGGCATGGTGACACCTGGATATCCTAGTCTCTAGCTCCAATCACCTTCTCTGTGAGGCCTTCCTTGGTCACATCATATTACATTTCAACTCCATTCGCCCCTGGTGTTCTCCTTAGCACTGTATTCGGCCGGATTGACTAGAGAAACCATTTCATTAACACTCACATATGTGTAAGAAAGAGCTTTATATTAAGGAGTAACTGTGCTTCCCAGCCCAGTTCAGAAGAGGCCGGCTGGAAAGCAGTTTATCTCAGTCACCCTCCAATCACGCTTTGACCTGATTGACAGGCTAAACTCCATCCACATGTTCCTATGGGAGTCATGTTGGCACTGAAAACCTAACTATCATATGTATAATCTTTCTAAAACACATATATGAATTATGTGCAAATAACCAACAGCAAGTACATACACATGATGCACTTGTATTTGCTTTATGATATATATGTGTAGATATGCATTTACAAATATGTATATACCTTTGCATATACATACATATATACAAATACATGCACACACAGAGTAGTTTAAAAAAGCGTTGCTACAAAATCATAGAAACCTTTATTTAACAAAAATATCAAAATATGAAGCTATTGTGTCCCAACACAATACAGAGCATCCGAAGGTGGTGTTTCCACCTCCCCCGTGCTCCCCTGAAGAAACTGCTCTTTGAGTCACACCATGTGGACACAACTGTTTGTCGAGGGACTCAAACAGTGCTCCTTTGCAATGTTCTTTGAGATTGGGAAACAAAAGGAAGCCCGAGGAGGTAAAAGCAGGGCTGTAGAGTGAATGGGATAGCATTGTCTCATGAAATCTCACAGGGCAGTCTTGGGTGCCCTCAAAGAATGAACTGGTGGATTGTCAGCTGGGAGAAAACCCCTCAGTATAACTTTCCTGGCCTCTTTGTCATCAATACAGAATTGGTCGTCTTTAAAGTTCTCGTTAACAAGCCCCCATGGCCACTCTGTATCCTTTGAGAAAATCTATTCAGACGACCTCTTTGGAAATTTAAAAAAAAAAGAATTTCCGTATCTTCTGAGCTGACCTCTGTGCCTTGAATTTAACTGGCCCAGCAGATGCCCTCCGAAGCCATGGTTTTGATGGACTCTTTTTAAAGAAAACGCTTTTAACTTTAATGGCCTTCTTTTGTTTTTGAGTTATAATTAACATATATAATTCAATGGTTCAATCATATGAAGAAGGGTGGTGCAATCACGGTCACAGTGAATGTGGAATGTGGTTTCTTCTTTCTCATACACATTAATGTTGAGCCCTCATTCCCCCCCTTCTCCCTCCATGTCCTCAGTTAACCGCCAATCCCATTACTGTCTTTGTATTTCCTTCCATCCCAGTTTCCCTGTACAGATCACTATACAAGTCTAGGGTAGACTTCAAGCAAGGATCCATCAACAATGGCCATAAGAAAGGGATAGAGAACTCTCAGTGAATCTTATAGGTACCCTAATGAGACAGACATGTATAATATTGTGAGAAATTGTCTCATCAACATTGACTTCTGAGGTATGTTCAAACACATTTTACTTAGAATAAACCCATGTATGTAGGCACTGGAGCCCCAGTGGCGCAATACTGTGTGTGTGCACGCCCTTTTAAACTTAAGATTTTAATTTTATTTTTCCCTAGCAAGGACAGGAATTTTTGTCTGTTTGTCACTACCATCTGTCCAGCATCTAGAACATGGCCTGGATCAATACAAACTTCTTTAATCAATGAATCAATCTCAATTGGAAATGACCCCTTCTGGTCTTTTTTATTGCCCACCTTGCCTCATTTCAGATAAATAACTATGAAATTACAGATTTTCGTTGATTCACTCTCCACTAATCCTGCAAGGCCCAAATTCTAATTTTACTCTCTTTGCTTTTATAAACTTTTCCTGGGTCTCCCTGACTCAAGCAGACATAATTAATTGTGTTGATGTGGGTAAACTAGAGAAGTAAATTCATGGAGACTCATATGTGAATAAGAAAGAGCTTAATATACAAGAGAAAACCCGGTCTAGATCAAATCCATAAGTCCCATATTAGCCCATATGTCCAATACCAATCTATAAAGTCCTCTTCTGACTCACAAAACACATGCAATGATGCCAAATGCAGGAAGATCACAGGTCAGTGGGTGCAAAGTCTTTTGGATCCAGTGGTGGTAGAAGCATCTCAGTGCTGGCAGGGGTCTCCACATGCCTCCTCCAGTTCCCAGGGCATGGGGTCTGTCAGCTTAGTGCCACATGTCTTGTCAGTAGAGCGCTTCTGAGGGAGTGAGTCTTGAGTCTTGTCAGTAGAGAGTCTCTGAGGGATTGAGCAGAAAGAGAGAGAGAGAGGTATCTCCCTCCTCCAAGGAGGAAATATCCAAGTTCCCAGAATCCTCAGGAGACAGCCATGCCCACACAGAGGCCTCATTGTCTATGACCCTATTGACAGACTAGACTCCACCCCTTCACTCCTAATCCTCTCAAGTTGCAAATTGACACCAGATGATGTAACTACCACATTCATTCTTCTTTCCTTTTCCCTCCTGGGCAACTCTGTCATAGCTTGTGCTACAAACATCATCACTCTTGAAGATGAGGTCGTTGAGAACAAGGCTTATGACACACTGATCTCCACATTCCCAGCAATGTTCGCCGTGCCCTGCGTATAGAGGGACTTAGCAAATAATGTCGGATAAATCAATGAACTAAAGTGAGAGTGCAATGAAATCAATCTTGCCAAGCAGTGACCCTTCAGGTTGCTTTGTTTGGTGTTCGTTTTAACGTAATGAAATCTTTTTTCTCCCAATGGGTAAGGTTTTCCAGTCGGAAGCAAAAGCGTAGGCATACCAAAAGGACAAAGACGTCTTGCATCAAAATTCTGAGCCTAAACGAATTCATGATTTGGAAAAGAGCAAAACACTAACCAGATGTCCAGTAATTACCCTTGAGGAAATTCTGTGTTATACATCTTAAGTAACAATTGCCTCCTGCTTTCTGGGATTCAGAGGTGGCGTATGAGTCACCATATTCTGGAAGGGAAGGGAGTGCCTCTAGGTTGGCCATGATGATGCCCTTCCAAGGGTTCCCACCTTAGAGTTCACCTTGCTCCCAGGTGAGCACAGAGGATGGGACAGCAGGCTGACCCTTATGTTATGTTTGGTTTCAGATTCTCGGTTCCTTGTATGATGAATTCCTGGCAGAAGAGGATTATTGGTTTCTCACCTTTACAGTAGGAGAAACTTTGGGTTGGGGAGTTTCATGAGGGTGAGGGATAAAGCAGTAACTGCTCTATTAGAAGCCTCTTTTGTTTTAAAGTAAATGAAACTTCTTTTTGTTGTAGAGTCAATTGAGGCATAAAGGTTTCTAGAGGATTCCCTGGATGGGGAACATGTTTAACATATTCCCAAATGTTAACCCAAATGTTGGAGGCTCAAGATTGCCCAGAGGTGCCTTAGAAGAAAGGTCTAGAAATCTACTTCTGAAAAATTAGCCATTGAAAACCAGTGGAGCACAGTTCTACTCCGACACCACCATGGTCACCATCCAATTTGAGTCTCTAAAGTAAACCTCTTTAGGGGAAAACAACAACAACCCTCAGAGGCATAAGCTGATATTGCCTTCATATGGAATATCTTTCTCATAAAAATGGATTCTACTAGAAGTGGGAGAAGGTTGGTGTATATTTTAGTAATCTGGTGCTGCTATCACAGAAACATCCCAAGTGGGCGGCTGTCAAAAACAGAAATTTATTTTCTCAGAGTTTAGGAGGTTAGAAGTTCAAATTCAGGATGCTGACTTTAGGGGAAGGGTTTATGTCTCAATTGGCTCTGGAAAAAGTCCTTATCTATTTCTGGGCTTTTGCTGCTGGGCAATCTTCACATGGCTTGACAGTGCTCTATTCTATCAATATTCTTTTCTATTATTATTTTTTAAACTTTTTTCATCAATTTGGTGAAGAATTTCATCCGTTTTATATCCACTTTGTGACACACATTTTGTTTCAACTCATGCAATGAATGCAATCCCCTCAACGTGCCATTGTTTATCCCACTTCCTCCCTGTGTTCCCTGCCTCCACTCCTCACCCTCCTTTCTCCTTCAAGGTCCTGGTTTAATCTTTTATATGTCTCAAGAGAGATGAACTCAAAATGCACCCTACATTAATCCTGCATAATTAACACAGCAATGGTACCCACTCCCACATGAGATTATCATCACAGGCATAGAAATTACAAATAATGGTGCACTTATTGTGTGTTGTATGATATCATAAGTAATGTGTGTTAGTCCAGGAAGACTAGAGAAACAAATTCATGGACATTCATATATGTATAAGGAAGAGGTTTATATACAAGATCAACTAAATATTGAGAAAACATCCCAACCCAGTCCAGATCAAGTCCATAAGTCTGATCTTAGCCCATATGTCCAATACCAATCTATAAAGTCCTCTTCAAACTTGCACAACACATGCAATGATGCCACATGCAGGACGATCACAGTCCAGTGGGTGGAAAGTCTTGTTGAGCCAGTGGCAGTGGCAGCATCTCAGCACTGGCATGACTCCTCCAGCTCAGGGCACTAATGTAGTTCCATGTGTCCTGTCAGCTGCAATGTCTCCCAGGGAGTCAGCAGAGAGAGTGTGTGTCTCCCACCTCCAAGGAGGAATACCAGAGTTCCCAGAATTCTCAGGAGAAGGCCATGCCTACACAGAGGCCTCATTGGCTATGACCTGATTGACAGGCTAGAGTCCACCCCTTCACTCCTAATCCTCTCAAATTGACAAACGATTATATAACTACCACACAATGGTTTTTAATAACTTGGAAGCAATCAGCAGAAGTCTGTGGGACAAGGCAGGCAGGGCTATTTCAAAAGGCCCTTGTCTGGTCTAGTTTCTGCAGCAAAAGATGTTTCTCTCTTGTTCTCACTCCATTCTCTCAGACTCAGAACAGGTTCTCCAGTCTCAAGGGACATAAAAGACACTCTACGACCGAAGAAGAGACTATTCTTCTTTATAAGAGGATTCAGGAATCTCTGGATTTAAGCCAGGGCTTGGCTAACATGGAGGAAATGGATTCTCTGCAGTGGCAAAGAATAGCTACTGAGGACCTCAGACAAGGCGGGTCTCTTAAGGTAGAAGTGAAGTCTCCAGTACTCCTGACAGGTAATAATAGCATTTAAAAGAACCATAGGCAATTGAGACCTATTAATATTTAGCATATTAAATGAGACAACCCTTGCCAGCACTGTGCAATGCAAAAGTTACCTCATTTGATATTCCAAATAGCCTATGAGGTAAATACGATTGCTGTCCAGGTGATTCTGACTACCCTATCTCCCGCATGGCTCAGTCTCGGAGGCACAGAGTGCTTGGGTTGTACAGACAGGTAAGTGCTCAACTCCTAAACCCAAAGGCTGGCCTTCCAAACCCACGCAGAGGCACCTGGAAGACAGATGATGCTCTGCTTTCAAAAGATCACAGTCTTGAAACCCCTTTGGAGCGCTTGTGCCCTGCGTACAGGGCATCTCCGTGGGTCAGAATCAACTAGATGGCCAATAAAACAAGGACTGAAGTATGGAGAGGCTAACAGTCATCCATGGGGCCAAGGCTGGAATCCAGATCCCCCTATGGGCTCTAAAGAGAGACACAGTACTCAAGTGTAATCATGCCACCCAAGGACATCATTGTCTTGCTGAAGAGTCCATCGTGTGCATATACTTAGCATGTTCCACCGCGCTACACCTCTCTCAGAATTACGTTCAAGGCATTTCTGTGAATGCAATTTTTACAGCCATCCATCCCCACACAGAGCACCACACTACCCCATCCCAGAATGTGGTGAGCGGTGTTACAAGTCTTGTATAAGACTGTACTGTCCAAAAGTGGTTTCATCCCAGCACTGCAATTGGTTACGTAAACGTGAGCAATGTATTCACTTCTCCCTAAACTTCAGTTTTCTCATCTTTAAAATGGGAGTACCAGTCTTCATAGAAAGATGGCATGAGATGATTTAGGGGCCCGTCCACACAATAGTCATGGTTGGATGCCCTCCTCTGGGTTCCGACTCACGGGGACCCTGTGCACACCAGAGTGAAACCCTGCCCGGTCCTGCCCCAGCCCCATGATTGTTGTTATGTTTGGCCCACTGCTGTGATTGCTGTGTCAATCCAGCTCACTGAGGGACTTCGTCTTTTTTGTTGTCCCATGCACTTTAGCAAGTCCTTCTCCAAAGACTGGTCTCTCCTGATAACAGGCCCAAAATTTGAGTCCAAAAAATGTGAGCTATTCGTATTCAAATGGAACAGTCTGGTTTAATCAGCTGTGCAGAGGTATCTGGAATACTATAGTGTCTTTCAAATTGGATCCATAACAGGAGATGAAGTTGATAGCATGATCATCTAGACCTGTGTATCTGTACATGTATACATGTGAAACAAGAATTTGCAAAGCAATATTTGCCCTTATTACATAAAAGGATGCACTCTAATACTTTCTATTCTATTCATATTGAAAAGGAATCGTTCATTTAATGTATTTGCTTGCTACTGAATCATGCCCAAATTGTTAAAGACATTGGTAAAACTTGGAAAATTTCATTCTACCCCTCACAAGCTCTATGACCTTGGGCAAGTGACTTCATATCTCAGAGCCTCAGTTCCTCTTCCATAAAATAGGGAAATGGCAGCTACTTTGTAGGATTGGTAAAAGAATTACAGGTAATTTATTTGTCTAGCAAATAGGTGCTCAAAACATGGCAGTTGTTAGGTTGCACTAAAAAACTCTTAAAAAACTTGAATGTGCAAACCACATGTAAATCAAGAGACAGTGAGCGCTTGTCCTCAGGAAACTCAGGCTGCACCAGTAGGAGTTATTAAGTCTGGCTTTCCCAGGCCCCTGTCTTATAAGTCTTAAAGATATCACAGTCAGCCCAGAAAGCAAAGAAAATTAGAAGAAATGGCTGGTGAATTTCACCACACACATACAAGCAGTGGCCATTACTTCGATAGCCACGGAGTGTCAGGAATGGTCAGAAAGAATGTGAACTACTCACCATGGAGACGTCCCCTTCCTTACACACACACACACACACACACACACACACACACACACACACACACCATTATTTCTTCCTCCACGAATAGGCCTTTGACTCACAGAGAGGTTGATGTCTCCCATTCAGGCTGCACGTGAATGCACAGAGCACCAGAGCTAGTATACTCTCATTGTTGACATGGCGAGACCGGTCCAAACTGGATTCACTGCAGAACCTGTTTACTGCTCTTCCCATGTACAACCAGAGGGTTCTGGCTGGCTGGGGGTGGTGATGATATTGATGATGACCCTGACATTCATGGGTCCACACAGCAGTATTGCTACTAGACTCTATCAATATGTCCTCAGAAATAATTGGATTGCTCTAGAGACTTCCCGGAGAACTAGGTCCAATCAGACTTACTCTAAACTGTGGAATTGTCAAACACAAATGAATATTTTTATTTTGGGAAGAGGCAAGATGCCGGTTTTCTTTCCTATTGGCCAGAACATTGTTAAAACTTTTTCTGTCAGTTTCAGGCTTGTTGTCCCATCTCATTGCGGCTAGAAAAGATGTGACCCTGCACTCATTACATATGGCTAGACATGACATCTGGCTATTTCTAAAAAGATTAACTACACTCAAAGGACAATGAGTGGAAACTGTTGATGCTATTCAGATATATGAGCTGTTAATTCTGAAAGGAGTTCCCAGAAAAGGAGCTGAGGAGGAGAACGGTCCCAGGATGGGATCTGTTAGGCCCTTTCCCTGACTGCATGCAGGTCCTCGAGGGAGGTCGTTTGGAAGGCCGTTGCAAGTCCCCCTCACAGAACAGGCTGTTGCAGGGGGGAGCGGCGTTCATCTGGATGAGATACTTCTGGTGTTTGTCTGAAGGGATGCATAACTCTTTCAAAATCAATTCTCATTTGCCCTACCATCTTTCAGGCAGAAAACTTCCCAGGGCCAGGTTTTTAGGAAGGGGAGAATCCTTCTACCTGGTGGGGGAAAGAATCCGTATTTGCTTGTTCCTTGTTTGTTTTAAACCAAACCAAACTTCCACGGGGTTTTCAAGGCTGCTATCTAGATGGAAGCAGACTGCCACATCTGTTTTCCATGGAGCCGCGATGCGTTCAAACTGCCCATCTTTCAGTACCTTCAACCCCACTTAGCCACTGG